AGACACGGTCGGCGGTTCGGAGGGCGATGGCGATCGTCTCCGAAGACGAGGAAGGCAGGGAGGCGCTGGCCGAGGAGGAGGAGGAGGAGGAGGAGGAGGACGAGGAGGAGGAGGAGGAGGAGGAGGAGGAGGAGGAGGAGGAGGAAGAGGGAAGAGGAGGAGGAGGGAGAGGAGGGAGGGGAGGAGGGAGGGAGGGAGGGAGGGAGGGAGGGAGGGAGGGAGGGAGGGAGGAGGAGGAGGAGGAGGAGGAGGAGGAGGTGGAGGATAATTGTAGTTCTAATAATATCTAGGGCGGGGTCCTGCTCTAGGCAGGCCGCTCAAACAACACATCAGCCTCGATCAGGGAAAGTCGTGCCAGACTTTGGTAGCAGCCCCTTGTGCAGGCGTGACAATTCCTCGCGCCCAGCCTTCGAGGGACATGGCCCGCGAGCAGGGTCACTGCAAACTCTTTTCAGAATGCGGGGAGGCGCAACAGAACAATGTCCACCACAGACAGTGCAAAACAGGGCACCGCGCAGGACCGACAGTCGGTGGGAGGGGTGACAGCGGTCGGCCAAGGGGTGGTCAAGGGCACCCCCACACAAGTCGGACGGCCCCAGGACATCAGGGGCAGGGTCAGGACCAGATGCACCTCTCACCTCCCGCGGCCCCAGCAGCTGGACACGCTGCTGGATGATACATCTGGGCTTGCACGGCGTGGGCCAAAAGCCAGCTAGCTGGCCCTTGAGGCCATAGCTGAGCTCACACTGCCTGCACGTAATGCAGGCCTTCTGCACCGCAGGGTCATGCCCTGCACCTCGCAATCGACACATCCGCTCGGCCAGGGAGGTGACCACTCCACGAGTTCGCTTCGGCTCACGGAGGCCACCCCGCTCACGCTCCGAGGAACATAACACTTCACGCTGGATGGCCAAGATCCTTCTCAAAACCTGCACTGCGAGCTCGTCAGCCCGCAAAGTTTGATGCACATGGGTTTCGCTCAACTGGGCCTGCTCTGCGGCCCAGTCGGCGAAGCGATCAGCAGCTTTGTTGAGATAGACCTCAACGTCAGACACAACATGCTTTCGGCCTGGGCTTGGGTGGGGTGTCCCTTGGTCCAGATCAGTCGGAGTGAACCCCCTCGTTCAGAAAGCACACGGTGAAATTCAGCCCAAAGGTCCATCATGCTCGATTTTCATTTGGCTCGGAGGCTCTTTCTAACACCCTTCACGACAAGCAGGCAGTCGCAATATGCACGGACGTCACCGACACTAGCTCGCAAGAGCTTGAGAGGAGGAGGAGGAGGAGGAGGAGGAGGAGGAGGAGGAGGAGGAGGAGGAGGAGGAGGAGGAGGAGGAGGAGGAGGAGGAGGAGGAGGAGGAGGATGGGAGCCCCTGTCTGGCGCGGGCCAGGAGGTGCAGAAACGCGGCTGGTTCACAGGATGAGCGCTCGAGCCTCGTGCGCGCACCCTCAGAACCGGCTCTGGCCATGCACAGCGTGCGAATCCAGTCGGTCAGATTCCCAGCGATCTCGTGCCGTTTCGTGACGAACTGCACACGGTCACGAGCAGCAGGCCCACGGCGCAGCGCGGGAACTAGCTCCGTCACTTTGGCCGATAACGAACCAACTGCAGCCATCATCCACTATAGAAGTTTGGCATCCATCTTGGCGTCGCTGTGCTTGACCTTCAACAGGTTTAGCATCCTCGTGGGCAGTTGGTTGGACATCGCACCTACCTTGGCGACGATGTCCGCCCACCCATTTCCATAGAAATCGCACGGTTGTCGGCCTTCACGACCGAGATACTCTTGTACGTCAAGGTGGGCAGGACACCAGCTGCCTCTGGGCCTCTCACGCCCAACGCGTGACCTGGAAGATCTGCTTCGAGACGTCCGCGTATTGCCCCCTGAGGGAGGCCAGGTCTGGGTCCCAGCTGTGGATCTCCTGCGCCAGCGAGGCGAGGTCCGTCACCGCACAGCGCAGGCAGCTCGTGTGGCGGAGGGCCTGCAGGCAGGCCCAGCGCTCCGCCCCGCTGGCCGTTTGCCTGCGGCCTGGCAGCGCGCCGAAGGCCGCCCGGACGGGGATTGTGGCCGCGGTGCTGAACTGCACGACAGTCCACCGGAGGGTTCCAAAGGGGATTTTTTGGGAGGGGGTTTTCCAGGAGGGGTGGGGGGCTTCGCGCCCCCTGTTTTGACGAGGTTCCGAGGCCCCTGGGGGACTCTCTGGAAAACCCCCTCCCCCCAAACCCCGTTTGGAACCCTTCGGGTCCAGCCGCAGCGGCGGAGCTCGGGCCAGGACGTGTCGTAACCCGAGCCGTCGTGGCACACGATCGAGAACCTGACGCCTGCGCCCGTCGACCCCCCCCCCCAGCAGAGCTCGGCCGTGCTGCCGGCCTCTGGCACCGCGTGGGGCATCATCGGGAGGCCGATCACGGTGTCGAAGCGGTCGTGGTCGCTGTCGGCGGCCCCGATACTGCAGCGGTCCTGCAGCCTCTGGCGTACTCGCAGGAGGTCATCGTGGAGCGGCTCGATGGTGTCCACCTCGTGCTGGCCCACGTTGAGCATCCCCGGGCCTCTCGTGGAATTTCGTGCACTTGGTGCACTTCTGCTGGCCAGGGCAATATGGGCACCACGGGCTGGCCAAGTAGGCCTTGGCGTGGCGTTTGACCGCATCCCACGAGGCCCCAGCCCAGAGCTTGTGAAGCTGACCAGCACGGGCTCCTCGGAGCACAGCTCGCAGCGGTACCATGATCCGCTGCATCGCCCTGAGCCATAGTGTCGCCGTGGGTGGAGGACCTGGTTCATCATGCTGACTGAGGATCTGCCTGCCCTGCCAGCGCGCAATTCCCTTGCGCACCAGCTGGACCACCCGCTTTGGCGGCACCCGCAGCAGCTCCAGGAGGGCGCCTGTGTCAGTGATTCGGGCGAGGCTGGAGTGCATGGTCCAGCTGATCCTCTGCAGACTCATGCACATCGCTGCACGTGGCCCTCGTGCTCCGTGCCACGTGGGCTTAGTGGTCAACCATGCCTGCTCCAGGGCCTGCAACGCCCGTTGCAGCCTCGCTAACGGCAGCTTGCCGTCTCAGACCGCACCGCGGCGCAGTATCGAGCAACCGGTGCCAGCGTGACTTCGAAGACGGGATCCAAGTAGAGATTCTTCTGCGTGGCGAGGTGCAGCGTGCTAGAGTCAGCGCCCACTCTGCCGCGGCCGTTGCACATGAGCACCGCAGTGTGCCGGAGCTTGGCGAGGTGCTCGTCCGTGGTGCCAGACACGGCCGCGCCGTGCGCCGCCGACGGCAGCAGCCCAATCCTCTAGAGCGCCTGGATGCGGAGCCGCTATTCTGACTACTTGTCGTTCTCTTCCCTTTACCCTTGCTCCTGCCCCTGCTCTTTCCTCCTCTTGTGCCCCCCCCCCCCACACCTGCTCACCCGCTTACGAGGCCCCGCACTCGGGGTCCAGTTGCAGCCGGAGCCATCTCTGCTGCCTCCGCCAACAAGTCGTGATCTTTGCGCCGTCGTCGCCCTTGCCGTCCCAGTCGTCGTGGTGGTGGTCCTTGCAGCCGTCGTCGTCGTCGTCGCCGCCGCCGCCGCCGCCGCCGCCGCAGTCGTCGCGGAAGGCCGCCGCCGTGTTGGCCGCCGGCGTGACCGCCGTCGAGTGGCGATCGTCGCTCGGACGGGCCTAGGACGAGGACGAATCCATTCCAGAGCTTTCCGTAAGGAGCGCTTTTTTTGTTTATTTGATTCAGGTAAGTTTACTTGCATGGCGTTCGCCCCCCCCCCCCCCGCCCCCCCCCTCCTCGCCCCTCTGCAAACGAATACTAGCGTGCAAGTGCCTTTCGACTTGCGTGGTTTCCGCACGCGCGAATCGTTTGCTGCTTGCTTCAGGTTCAGGCCCCCCCCGTCCATGCAAGTAAGCTTGCGGGGGTAAACGGTAAACAAAAAACAGGCTCAAGGGCGCCCGTACGTCCTCCAGAGCCACCGGACCTCAGAGATTCTCGGCCTCGTCCTGGCGGAAGTTGTCCTCGTCCTTGATGGGCCTGTTTTCCACCACCACCATAAGTTGGAGGGGGGAAGGAGGAGGAGGGAGGAGGAGGGAGGAGGAGGAGGAGGAGGAGGAGGAGGAGGAGGAGGAGGAGGAGGAGAGGAGAGGAGGAGAGGAGGAGAGGAGGAGGAGGAGGAGGAGGAGGAGGAGGAGGAGAAGGACCCCTCCCCCTCCAACTTATGGTGGTCGTGGTGCAAGACAGGCCCGTCAGTCCTGGCTCCGTCTCAGCCGCCGCCTTCGCGCCGCGCCAGCGCGCCGAGGCCCGGAGCCGCCGCCGGGCCGCCCGTGCGGGCTCGCGCCGCGTTCGAGCCGCCGGGCCGACGCCCGGCCGCGGGGCCGCCAGCGCTCGAGCCGCCGGCCTGCGCGGAGGCGGCGCCCGAGGGGGCCCTCGAGGGTCGGCGGCTACCAAGGGTGCTTGTGAAACGCATGAAGCATGCGGTCCTGTCGAGAGGTTGTGAAACACATGAAGAATAGGCATGCGTCCGATGTGGTCTTGTGAAGCCACTGGCTGTTTGAGTTTGAGTTTGAGCTGGGGTCTTGTGGGATTTGATGCGTGTTCTTTCCATCGTCTCAAGTCCCGCCGAGAACTCGTATATGTTACGTCCAGCTCTTATTTCCAAGATCCGTTGGGCTCCTCAGCCAGAGCTGCTGCTTCTCTTCTTCTTCTTCTTCCTCCTCCTCCTCCTCCTCCTCCTCCTCCTCCTCCCCTTCATCCTCCTCCTCCCCCGGCCCTGATCAGCTGGTGCAGAGTTTCGCCCCCTTCTGCTCGCGATTGCTTCAGCTCGATTTCTTACCTACGCGCTGGACGGCGCATGGCCTGTGAGCGCATGACGCGAGCGCCTGCTAGTTTTCACTCGCCTGTGCCCTCACCGGCCGCCCCTGCGCGGGCATGCAGGCTTGGCCCTGACCGTGGGCTCGTCTGCGCGCGCAATGCTCGCACGGGCCTCCACACGTGCGTGCGTGCGCGCGTGTGTGCGCGCGCGTGCGCGACCGTGGCCTTCTTGGCGCAAGCCTGTCCGCTCTTGGCCGCGGCGCCTCCGAGCCGGCACCCCGCGGCTCGGGCGGCAGACGGTGCATGACCTCTCCTTTCCCTGTCGCAGCGCATCCGATGCCACGGCGGCGTTGGCCGCGGTCGCCGCGTTTTCTTGCAGCGGCCGCGCTGGCAGTCGCAGCCGCCGCCGAAGGGCCCGAGTTGGCCTGCGCGTCGGGAGGGCAGGTGCATTGCCCGGAGCCGCCAGCGAGCACGCCAGAGGACAGCCTCCATGACGTGGTGCCCCACGCGTCGATCTTCTTGCAGGCGAAGCTGAACATGCGCGAGCCTACCCCCAACCAGAGCATGGGCTCCAGTGCGGTCGCGCATGCCATGCGTCGTCCGTTTCAGGACTTCCGCAAAGGAGGTCTAGTGGGAACGAATGCCGCGGGCAGGGTGGTGCCCAGGCGTTCGTCGAGCGGCGCGGGCTATGGGTGCTTGCAGCCAGACGCCTGGGCCGTGCTGGGCCCTCTGGCGACGATGCAGTCAGACTCGGACCCGCTGGAGGCGTTCGGCGGCCTGTGGAGGGTGGTCGACAGGATCCCCCCGCAGCTGTGGGAGGCCGTGCGGAGGGCGGGGGACCTGCACGCCAGCGGGCGCGCCAGCGAAGTGGCCGAGATCTCGGAGTCGCTGCAGGGCCAATTGGAGTGGTTCCCGGTCGAGGCGGGGACCCAGGGGCGGACCTCGTGGGCGCTGGGCCTCGCGGACCGCACCACGCCTGGGGTCACGGTCAGCTCCGCAGCCAGGGACGCCGCCCTGGTCAGTGGATACCAGGGATGGGCGGTGGGCAAGTTCACACTCTCCTCCAGGGCGGTGGTCCTCGTCAAGAGCACGGACCCATTCGCCGTGGACGGGGGGGAGTTCCTCATGAACAGCGACGCGTACGGCCTGGACAAGGGCGTCCATGCCCTCACCCTGGACGCCGGCGAGCACGTGATCGCGGTCAGCTACAAGTTCCTCCCCTTCTGGACCGACATCCTCCTGGACTCCGCGGGCGCCCGGGAGCTCGTCACCGGGGTCGCGGACCTCAGCCTGGGCATGGGCGGGCTGGTGGTCCTGGACGACTCCAAGATGTCCGACCTCGTGGATGGCCACCTGGCTTCTGGGCACGTGGGCCTCTCGGTGCTGAACGCGGCGGGCGAGACGCTGGTGCCCCACTCCGCGCAGCTGGCGTCTGGTCCCGACGGCATGAGATTGCTGCCGATCTCGGCGGCCTGGCGGGTGCCGATCCGTGCTGGGCAGACGTTCCTCGTGCGCCTGGAGCTGGAGCAGAGCGGCTCCGTGGCGTCGAGCTGCTGGGCGGAGTCGGAGACCGCCTTCTATCTGAACCTGACGCTGAGGCTGAATCTCGCCACCCCAGCTGGCGAGATGCGCCCGGCCGTGTACGTTAGCCTCCAGCCCCAGTGCGTGCGGTTCTGGGGCACCCTGGGCTCCCCTGCGGGGGCGTACGCCGGCGGCTACAAGGTGGCCTTCCCCGACTTCGATGGATCCATCCAGCAGATGTGGGTGGCCCCGCCGAATGTGTCGGCGTTCACGAGTCGCGCCTGCCCGGCCGCTGGCTGCCCACTGTTTCTCTCGACGCACGGCGCTGCAGTGGACATCGGCAACAACTGGGGGCGGAACTACGCTTGGAACGACGACACCAAAGAGTTCCCATACCCTGCCTGGCTCGTGCAGCCGAGCAACCGCAACCCCTACGGGACCGACTGGGAGCACCAGGGGTACGACGACGGCCTGGCGGCGATGGAGTACGTGGCGCGCCATCTGCCTGGCGCCCCAATCGGAGTGGACCGCGGCCGCATCGGCGTGGACCTCGCGCGGCGGCTCGTGACCGGCCACTCCATGGGCGGGCACGGCTGCATGGTATACTCCGTGCACGACCCGGACCGGCTCCTGGGTGCCGCGTGCTGCTCGGGCTGGGCTGCCATCGGCCGGCAGGAGAGCCACCTGAGCGACCCCGTCGGGCAGGGCATCCTGCAGTCACCCCTGGCGGAGCACGCGGTGGACTTCTTGGCCCCCCCCCGACCTTTTCGTCCTGCTCTCCACCTCCAGCTCTGCTCCCATTCCTCTGGCTCCAGCGCCGAAGCTGCTCCTCCTGCTGTCCCTCCATCCCGCAGGCCCCGAACCTGAAGGGAGTGCCGCTGGGCATCTTCTACGGGGACTCGGATTCGACTGTGAGCCCTGTCTACCCGCGGTACCAGGCCCGGCTGGTGGACTCCACGTCGCGGGACAAGTCCGCTGTCAGGCTGGTCGAGCTCGAGGGCACCGAGCACTGGTTCACGCAGAACCAGGCGGACCTGGTAGAGTACCTCTCAGGGCGCGTCGTTCCCGCGTCTGGCACCTCGGAGGCAATGCCGCTGCCGCCGCTGCCCGAGGTCTTCGAGTTCGTGGTGCCCAACCCCGCTGTCTTCGGCACCAAGGGCGGGCTGCGCGTGCTCCAGCTGGAGGACGCAGCCAAGCCCGGGAAGCTGGTGGTGCGGCGGTGCACGGCCGTCGGCGAGGGCGACTGCGCCGCGGCGGCCGCCCTGGCGGGCGTCGGCCCGGGCCTTGGGGGGACCTCCGCGGGAGACCCGGTGTGGCTCGTGGAGACAGCCAACGTCAGGCGCTTCCGCCTCGAGGCGGGGGCCCTCGCGGGGCGGGCGGCGCCGGCGGCCGCCAGCGTGGACGGCACCCTCTTCACCGGCGCGGAGCTGCTCGGCCAAAGCCCCGGCGGCCACCTCTGCCAGGGCGCAGCCACAGGGCGCGGCCTGCGGGCCGTGTGGCGGGCCTGCGCCGACAGGGCGTGGGAGTCCGTGCAGCGCGGCGGGCCCTCTGCGGGTGCGGGGCCGCTCCAGATGGCGATCCGGCAGGCGCCCGTTTGCATCGTGCATGGCGCTGGGGAGGGGCAGGCGGAGGCGGCGCTGTCCCTGGCGCAGAAGCTTTACTTCGTCAGCCGCTATGCCGTCCCGATCCTCAATGCGAGGACCGACGAGGAGGCTGGGCCCGAGGCTGCGCGCTGCTCGAAGGCCAACCTTATCCTGATCGGCGACCCGGGCACCAACCTGTGGACATCGACGCACCGGTGCGCTTTCTCCTACGTGAGTTTCTTCAGATCCCGTGCGACTGGAGCGCCGTCGGCGGCTTTCGGCCTGGACGGCAAGAAGTTTGCTTCGCCTGGCACGGGCCTCGTGGCGCTGGGTCCACTGGGTGGGGGGCGCCTGGGCCTCCTGGTCCACGGCACCGACGCGCAGGGACTGGCCAAGGCGATCCAGAGGGTGCCGTCCTCCTCCGGCATGGTGGGGTCCGACTACATTCGAAGAAGAAAAATCACCGTAACATCTGAACTTTTGGCGCTCCGCTCTCCGCGCGGGTTTCTTGGATCCGCGCTGGGCCCCCCTTGGCGGCGCCTCCAGCGCCGCCCCTGGCGCGCTCCGCGCGCCAGGGAGGGGGGGGTCAGCGCAGATCCAAGAAATCCGCGCGGAGCGCCAAAGTCTACGTCTATGGCGTTCTTTCTCCTTCTGACATCGTGGACGGGCCGGCCGCTGGCTGGATGGGTGACGGGGGTGTGCTAGCGGCGGGGTATCTGGACGCGCTGTGGCGGCCGGGGCCGACGCGGTGGGCGGAGCCCGACGCCGAGGCGCCCGACGTCCTCGGCCTGGCGGAGGTGGGCGGCGCCGCGGAGCTGTGCGGCGACCGCCTGCGGCTGCTGCGGAGGTCCGACGAGGAGCGCTCGGCGCCCGCGGAGGAGCGCCAGGGCCACGGCCACGGCCACGGCCACGGCCACGGCCCCGGCCACGGCCACGGCGACGACGACGACGACGACGTCGACGACGACGACGACAGCCACAACCAGTCTGGCAGCCACAGTCAGATCCATGGGCACGGCGCGCGGGCGGCTCCAGCCGCCCTCGTGCTGCTGTCCTTGCATGCCGCCTGGGCTGTCGCCGCATAGGCGGTCACTGCCAGCGGCGGCCGCGCGCTTCTCCTCGCCCTTCTCGCCCTTGTTGTCCTCCTCCTCCTCCTCCGCCCATGGCGCTTGGGCCGCTTGGCGGACGAAGCCAGAGTGCTGCCGCACGGATCGCCCGCGCGCAGCCACTCCGCGCCGTCTTCAGCTTTTGCTGCGGCCAACTCGTTTGTGTTTCATGCGTCCGTGGCAGGCGCCCAGATGGGCACTGCTCGCGCATCTCTTTGTCCGCAGAAGGCGCTCACAGACTCAGGAGGGGCAAAAACAGACACACGTAATCGTCGATCCCCAGGAACATCCGGGAACATGGGGGAATTGTGGGGGAAGTCGGAACCCCTGAAGATATAGGGAAATCATGGGGAATCCCGGGCCCAAGAGGGCTCCAAGATTGCCCAGGGAGCGCTCAAGGCGGCCCAAGAGGGCCCTCGGCGTAGGTTAAGAGCGGTTGGCGCTTCGGCACCGCCACAGCGACTCGGAGGATGCGCAGGCGACGGGGACCCCCCTCGTGCTCGTGGCCCTTCCCTCCGCCCGCTGGGCGGCGGGTGGGCGCCACCTCTCACTCCGCGGGGTGCCTCCGCCGGCGGGGCCTCGCCGCCGGTGTGCGCGGGAGCCCGTCCGTGCCCGCTCTGCGGCGCTGGCGCGAGCACGGGCGGAACAGCAACACGGCACGAGCAGCCATGCAGGCTTTCGGAGGTGCGCGCGGATTTGTAGAGTGGGCTGTGGCGTCGGGTGGGCACGAGGGGCAGTCCTGAAGCGTGCTCCTTCGGATGATGGTTTGATGTATGATTGCAGCCAGTCGGGCCGTGACGCCGTCCAGGAAGCTGCCCGCGTGGCGGTCCGCATAAGCCTCGCGCGAGGTTGCACACGGATAGAGGGGATGTGGTTTGCAACATGTGGTTCTCGCCGTGGCGCTGCTCGAGCTAACCAAAAGCAAATCCATCAGCATGGGCTCTCGCTGTGGCGCTGATCTGGCTCGTTTCAAACATTTCTGAGACGTCCTCGAAGTAAACGACAAGAACTTTGAACTACAGTCAACCCGCGTGGTAAGGATGGGCATCCTTTCTAACGGTACCCTTGCATCCTTGCCCCTTTGGCCCGTCCTTAACGGCTTCCGCTGGCCAGCCTCGTTCGAAAAACGTTACCATGGCCCTCCAAGGCCCTTGCATCCTTACCGTGCGTCCTTATCATACCGGTCGACTGGAGCGCAACGCCTGCACGGACGGAGGGCGGCTCCTTTTCGACATGGTGCTCTTGCTGGCCACGCTCGCCATCGTTGTCGTTGTCGTCGTCGTTGTCGGCGGCGGCGGCGGCGGTGTCCGCAGCGCCACCGCCGCAGCCAACGGCTGGCCGAGGCCCGCCACAGGCTGCTGAAGGCTGGCCGGCGGCCGCCGAGGGCTGGCCGACGGCCGCCGAGGGCTGGCCGAAGGCTGGCCGAGGGATGGCCGAAGGCTGGCCGAGGGCCGCCGAGGGCTGGCCGAGGGCCGCTGCCGAGGCGGAGGGCGAGCCGGGGCTGCCGCTCGACCTCGCGGCGGCCTCGTGGCGCTTCGACGCCCTGGAGCTCGCGAAGCGCACGGGCAGCGCTCCGCTTCCCCGCCCCGCCGTCGCCGCCGTCGCCGCCCCCGCCGCGGCCGCCGCCCCACCGCCGCGTCGCCGTCGCCGTCGCCGTCGCCGTCGCCGTCGCCGTCGCCGTCGCCGTCGCCGTCGCCGTCGCCGTCGGCGTCGGCGTCGTCGTCGGCGTCGGTGTCGGCGTCGGCGTCGGTGTCGGCGTCGGTGTCGGCGTCGGCGTCGTCGTCGTCGTCGTCGTCGTCGTCGTCGTCGTCGTCGTCATTGTGGTCGTCGTCGTGGTCGTGGACGTCTTCCTCGACATGTTCGACATCTTCCACATTTTCGTCGTCGTCGTCGTCGTCGTCGTCGTCCTCCTTCTCCCTCCCCGCTGCTCCTACTCCCACTCCTGGGTACAGCGGGGGCGTACATCAAAAAGCTGCCTGTCTTCTGCGAGGGTGACCTGGGCTTCCAGGCTCCCAGTGGTCTGCAGTGGGACGCCCAGGATCCCCATACCCTGAATTCATCAGAAGCCTTCGTTTTTAGGGTCCCGGTTTCTTATGGGGGTTCGTTGTGGCCGAAGTCTTTCTGTATGGGGTTATGGCTGCGGAGGGGCACTCGCAGGGACACGTAGGAGGATGCGATGAGGATTAATATGGTGACTCGAACCACGCGCGTGCTTCGCGCGCGCATAGGTTCTAGCAAGCTCCTGCTCGGGACAGTCCGACCACTGTGTACAGATGCGTAAGCACTCATGTGACGCGAAGGGCTACCTGGCGGGAACGCGGCGTGAAGAGGCATGAATAACGCGGACTGAACAAAGAGAATTCACGACCAGGCGCTCGGAGGAGATCACACCATCGCTCCAAGGGAGGCCCAAGGAAAGGTCCCCAGCGCAGCCGAATCAGATCCCGAGGGCGCCCAGCAAAGGGGCCCGAGAGGGTGCCAAAGGGCGGCTCCTAGAGAGCCCACGGGAGGCCCTGGGACGGGGCACAGGAGAGATATCCCGAGATGCGTCGAGAGAGGGCCCGAAGATAGATGCATATGGCGCCTCAAGGGAGCCCCAAGAAGCGCCCTCAGAAAGGCTGTAGAGGCTCTGATCTGAGAGGGTCCCAAGAGGAAGCCCAATGGTGCGTCTGAGAGGGTTCCAAGCGGAAGCCCAATACTACTCCACCGACGGCCTGACTGGGCGCGCTCGCGGGGGCCACCCCCTTCACGCGGATCGCGCCCCACAGGGAGGTCAGCGTGCCTATCCGCGCTAGCTCCGAAGCAGCCCCCTATCTGGTCTGCCCCGCGGCGCGCACTTGCTCCTCTTGGAAGCCTCTTGGGGGTCTCCTGGGGGTTTCCTGGGGGCTTCCTGGGGCCTCTGGAGGCCTCTCGGAAGCCTCTTGGGGGCCCCTTGGGGGCCTCTTGGCGCCTCTCGCGGGCGACTTGGGGGCCTCCTGGGGCCTCTTGGGGGCTTCTTGGGTGCCTCTTGGGGACCTCGGGGGTTCTCTTGGGGCTGGGGGCTCGACATGTCAATTGGATTTGCCCATCTTGGGCTCCTCTTGGTGCCCTTTCGGAGCTCGTTCGAGCGGTCTTGGGTGCCTCTTGGATTGTGTTGGGACCCTCTTGGGCCGGCTTGGCGCCCGGCCGTCGCGATCTGAGGGGCCCCTGAGGTCTTCAAGGACAGTACGAACACAAAAAAACGAATAGGCAAAATACGTACGTTTTGCAAAATAATTGGGCTATTTTTGCCTCTCGGAGCCCTCTTGGGGACAAATTCTTCACGCTTCGCGTATCCCCACCAGCCCATCTCAAAACAGCAACTCTAGCGAAGCATGCCGACAGTCGTGTTTTTCAGGCGTGTTTCCGCCTGCCCCCGCATATCTCCCCTGTTCCTCCTTCCTCCCGCCTCCTTGTACATCCTCCTTGTGGTGGGAGCGGGAGAAGGACGAGGCGGAGGAGGAGGGAGAGAAAGCGCTCCTCGTGGTTTGAGTCGTTCGGGCTTCTCGTCCTGGTGTGAGTCGTTCGGGCCCTTCTTCCTGGTGTGAGTCGTTCGGGCTCTTCGTGGTGTGAGTCGTTCGGGCTCTTCGTCCTGGTGTGAGTCGTTCGGGCTTCTCGTGGTGTGAGTTGTTCGGGCCCCTCGTCCTGGTGTGAGTCGTTCGGGCCCCTCCTCCTGCCCGTCCAGAAACGACGCCCAGGCGAGTAGAGGGTCGTCCTGATGGGCTTTTCGGCGTCTTGGGTGCCTCGGGGGGGCCTCTTTGGGCCGTTTGGGATCCTCTTGGGGGCCTCCTGGGGGCCTCTTGGGGCCATCTTGGGGCCTCTTGGTGCCTCCTGGGCGCTTCTTGGGGCCATCTTGGAGGAAATCGATCAAAGAAGAGGGGAGCTTTAATTAGCGCTGCCCCCTCAGAAGGCCAAAATGGGGCCAAAACCTTAGTAAAATCAATGATTTTGGCTTGAAAGAAGAGGGGAGCTTTAATTAGCGCTGCCCCCTCAGAAGGCCAAAATGGGGCCCAAACCGTAGTAAAATCAATGATTCTGGCTTCAAAGAAGAGGCGAGCATTTTTCTGCCTCCCCCCGTCGGGGCCAGAATCCTCGTGAGGGGTGTCGTTTTTTAGCCCTCCCAGGAGTCGACAAAGACCCCTCCAACGACCCGCGAAACCCCCTCTCCAGGCCCAGGGGGAGGGGGTAGGGGGAGGGGTAAACCCCTCCCCGAAGGGGAAGAAGGGGGGTTGAGAACAGAGAGAGCTCCTTAAACCACTCACGCCCAAAGGGCCGGTGGGATTCGAAGGGTCTTGAAATGTCTTGGAAGCCTCTGGGGCCGTTGGAGACGGCTCGTGAGCCGTCGGAGGCCCCTTGCGGCCGTTGTGAGAGTGGCTCGCGGTTGTCGAGGGCCGCCGTGATGCCCGTCGGACCGCTCTCCGGGGCGATCTCGGGCCCCCCGAAGGCGGTCCCGGCCCCCAGCAGGGCTGGACCTAAACGGTGTTTTTGGCGATTTCGTGGGCCGTTTTCGTTTCGTTTTCGTTTTGCGGTAAAGGCGGATTCGAGGCAAACGCGAGGAAAAACGGAAACAAAATCAAGACGAAAAACACCGTTGAGGTTCAGCCCTGCCCCCCGGCACCCACATTTGTGGTCGGGGCTGCGGCCTCGGGCCCCCCCCCGCCGGTCGCCTGTTGTATGTGGATGGCGAAGGAGATGCCGATGCTGAGTGTGCTTTCTGCGATGACCGCTCCGGCAGCAAGAACTGGCAAGATGATAACGGTGGTGACGATGATGCTGCTGCTGCTGATGATGACGAAGATGACGATGACGATGACGATGACGATGACGATGATGATGATGATGATGATGATGATGATGATGATGATGATGATGATGATGATGATGATGACGATGATGATGATGATGATGATGATGATGATATGATGATGATGATGATGAGGATGATGACGATGATTATGATGATGCTGCTGAGGATGATGCTGCTGCTGATGATGATGGTGTTGGTAAGGGTGACGACGGGGAGTATATTATGATGACGAAGAATGTGATGATAGTGATGCTTGTGATGACTGTTCTGATGATGGTGATCGTGCTGATAATGATGCCGCTGCTGTTGCTTATGCTGATGCTGATGCTGATGATGCTGATGATGATGATTAGGATGACGCGGGTGATGATGATGCTGATAATGATGCTGATGTTGCTGATGATGATGCTGATGATGAGGATGATTAG